GGGGAGGTAGGTGTAAACCCAGATATTTGATCATGAGTACTATCAGGTAAATTTCCAAGTGATTGAGAATGGCAAATTTTAGATGCATTTCCGGGTTTTCTGAGCTGGTCTAAATCATAGCTATCTAAATATTCAAACTTTTCTCGGGGTGCATCCCCTTTCCCTGGTAGATTTAGCCCCGTGGATAGGTGGCTTACACAGTTACACCAGGTTCCAGTTCTGTGCACAAGAAAGGTATTTAAACAAAAGAATCGAATGGAAATGAATTTCATTTGACTGCTGTCTACATAGGAATCCAACTTCTGTCATACTGAACAACATTGTACACATAAGTTTGATATACTTTATTCATTGTTTTAACATTGTTTCAACTACGTAATCTCTAATACAGATCAATTTTGGTAGAATTTGACACAACTTGAATTCTTGAATCTAACCAGCGCGACGGATTTCGGAATCGATCCAATTTCTGAATTTCGCGACTCGTGCAAAGACGGTGTAGCGCTCCGACGAAGCGCATCTGGTAGAACCCCAGGAAACAGCGCCTTGAAGAACGAAACGACCGCTGCTATCCCGGCATACATATGGACCACCACTGTCACCATGACAACCACTCAAGATGCTGTCCTCGACTCCAGCACATAACATTTGCCCCGTGATCGACAATCTGTGGCCATCTGGATGGAGGAAATGTATGGTTACTTTTCTGATACATGACTAATTAAGACTGTGATCAAAATGGGAATTTTGCTTCGGTAAATTCTAAGTTTTGAAGAATTTGTAAGAAACGTTTGAGGAAACTGACTCAGTGTTAAACACTTGAGTCATTTCCCTCAAACATTTCTTACAAATCTTTCGAAACTTAAAATTTACCTATGCAAAATTCCTACTGTGATCACAGAAACTTTGATAGTGTAAACGAGGTTTTAGTCTTTTTGACTCAAAAGCTAACTTCGAACTGTTCGCTTAATTATGTCAGACTCTCGTGGTTGAAAAGATCTGGGGGCGGGTTGTACGAGGACTGGGTAGAGGAAAGTTTCTTTTATTAATCGCGAGGTCCATACCCATAGAGTAAAAGTTATTCCGAATAAGGAGTGCATAATAATAACATACAATTTATAAAAACTGTAAAAAAAACCTGATAAAATCTGATTCATCTTCAGCAGTGTTTTGCAAGATATGCAAAACACTGCTGAAGATGAATCAAATTTGATTCGAAATATACAGTTTTTATAAATTGTGTGTTATTATTATGCACTCCTTATTTGGAATAACTTTTATTCTATATTTGCTGAAATTATCAGAAGGAAAAGGATTCCATATCCACAGTTTTGTAGCTCTTCAAGTATTTTTTTCAACGGTTGAAAAAATCATTGTCCGGTTGGTAATTGGTAGAGCTATCCGCCCTTTGTACAACCAGTCCCTGTTTACAATCTCGTTACTTTGTCAATCAATAAGGCAAGACAAAAAATAAGAAAACGTGCTTATGAATTTATACAAACCTAGAACAGTATGTGTGTAGTAATTGTATAATATTTACGAATATTTACCAGGTGATTGCGCGAGTTTTTTCTTGCACTGTTCTTGACTGACTGGTGGTAACCTGGCCTGCTGGAGGGTGTGGTGAGAACTTCCTGGGTGACGGATTTTACCCCAACCTGGGAAAATCAAATATCACTATCATCGCCATCATCATGATTATCATTACCATCATTATTGCTTATTATTATTATCATCATCAATATTATATTACCATCATCATAATTAATCACAACTATTACTATCCCGCCGTGGCCAGGCATATTTTTCAAGCCTGCCCGGTGTGGATATACACTCAGAGTAACATCACACAAACAACATATTACTACCTACACTACCAGAACTATAACCATAACCATTATCATCATCATCACTATCACCACTATCGCCATTATAATAATCATCACCATCAACACACCATCATCACCATTACCATCACCATTAACATCATGATCATCACAACTATCCACAATCATCATCACCACCATCGCCACCAAGGACTGGTTTTCTGTGATCACAATAGAAATTTTTCATGGGCAAATTCTATGTTTTGAAGGATTTGTAAGAAATGTTTGAGCGAAACTGACTTAATGTTCAACACTGAGTCACTTCCCTTCTTACAAATCCTTCAAAACTTAGAATTTACTGATGCAAAATTCCTACTGTGATCACAGAAACTTTGATAGTGTAAAGCAGACTTAACATCACCCCGTCACAATCACCATCATAACTTATATTCTTAGTAATATAACACTCAAAATTCAATGGTACATCACTGTCCTAACATTGGTACCACCATCACCATCACAACTTACCAGTAATATAACACTCAGAATTCAATGGTAGATCGCTGTCCTAACAGTGGTACCACCACCGTCATCACCTCACAACTTACCAGTAATATAACACTCAGAATTCAATGGTACATCAAAGTTATGACTTGGTAAACAAACAGTCGAAATACGGCTGGTCAAAGTTGCAGGTCGTTCAAGCTGGATCAAAGCTATATCATTGTTAAGTGCAGGTCGTCCATATTGTGGGTGAACTATCACTTTCTTAGCTCTGATACGCTGTTCATGACTTTGAGGAGAATTTCTGTTGTGAGCGCCCAGAAGAATCGTGTAGGATGAAGCACTAGAAAGGAATTTCAGTTTTAAAGCAATTTATTTTTTATTTGTGTAAAGACCATCTTCACTGGATGTTACTACAGGATAACCCATATAGTTCTCGGAGAAAACGTGCGGTGTTTGGTATTAGAGACCTTACAATTTTAGGACGGCAACGCGACGGCAACGGCTACCAATACAATAGATCATTGAAAGGAATTGAGTAATTACAATATATGAATAATTTAGTCATTGTCCTCGCTCTGTTCACGACGCTAAATCACAGATTTTCACGTCTTGATACAACGGCTACGTTCCAAGCCACAACAAGTGCAACGTCAAACTGGGTTTAGCAGAACTCTTCCCAACAACCATAAAATCCATGTCTTCAACTTCTAAGACTCTATTAAATTCATACGATGAACTATATTTACTGCCATTTATTTGAAGGAGTTTGTTTTGGCCGTCGCGTTGCCGTCCTAAAATCGTAAGGTCTCTATTGGTGGACTAAAAGAACTCTACTCACTTGTTGCGACTGAGGTGAAATTATAAACACACACAGAAATCTTGTTTGTATGGAGCAAAATATATAAAATTTATTTATGAGAAAGTGATTTTCTCACCTACTGGATCTTGCTATACAGTGGCCAGCAGTCACAACCCAATCAGGATAAACCAACGATCCTCCGCAGCCAAATCTTCCTGATTTCAATAAAGCAATCTGCATTGAAAGAAAATGAAAGATATTAATATGTGAACTACAAAACGAAGATGTTTTCAGGCGAGCTGTACCTGCCAAGGCCATGCTCCAGGGGCAGCATTTGTTCCACCAATCACACGACCTGTAACACCAGAAACTCCACAAGAACCTGGAACAAGAAGAAGTATTGGTTAATGACTGTCACGAATCATCATTATCATCATCACCACAATCACACCACAACCATCACCACCAATGAAAAACGAGTTCTACTTACCCACAGGAGGTCTGGAACTAGGCGGTGTAGGTCTGGGACTAGGTGGTGTAGGTCTGGGGGTTACTGGACCAGGTCCTGAAGAAATAACTGTCATTATCTGACTAGGTCCCATGCGCCTCGGTTTCATAACCTGCTGTATCCATGAAGGTCTGCCAGTTCCTGTGTATCCCACCAAGGCAAACGATCCTCGATAAGCAGGTTTGACTGGTTTTCTTCCGCCCACGCGAACGATCGCGGACTCAAGTGATGACGTCATTCTGTACGATCCTTCGCCTTGAACGGCAATCAGAATAACTTTCCTACAAAATTAGATCGTATGAGCAAAATCGAGACGAAGGCTTTCTACTATCTCATCTAGTGGTGAGACCTAGTCTCGTTTGTATTTCGCCACGTATGGCACCTTCTATAGTTACTACTCTATATTGTGCAACTATCTATGTAAGTTATGTACAGTTATGTACAATATTGTCAAGTTATCTATGTGCCAAATTAAAACTGTTAAATAAAATAAAAATAAGGGTGCCTCTGCATGGCAGCCACCTTATGACTCATGTCTGATCAAGGAGCACAGCTACGGTGGAAGGGTCAGTTAGGGGGCTAATCCCAACCCACCCTGTCAACTCTCCCTGTGGGAGGAAACCGGAGAACTCGGAGAAACTCCCACGACTTTCAGTAGAGCGTTGACCGACTCTTTTCACGTGAATGACTTGAGTACGGAACGAGAATTAAACCCACGGTTGCTCTGACGATTGCGCCACCAAATCCTCTTACTTTTGTCTGACATGAACCAAGCCATTCAACTTCCATGCCATTAGTTCTGATTGATATGTTGAACCATAAGTATCATATGCAGCTTGATGTTCAATATGACCTACACGATGAGAAAAATTATGAAATATTGAATAGCTCACGGTTGATTCTCATCAAAGGTTTAAATATGCATAATAAAACATAACATGTTCACATAAAGATATAAAATTTTCAAGACTTTTTTTCAGCATCTCGCTCGATGGAACTAACAGTTGAAGGGCTTGTGTAGACCTAAGACCTTCTGACAGGAATCGAACCAGCAGCCCTGCGATTCTGGTGCAGTGCTCGAACCAGCGGACAACTTGCATGTTAGACTAAATTTTAATCTAAGTAAAGGAGAAGGGAATCAATCACAACAGTTAAAAAGAAAATAATGAAATTAGTGAAATTGCAAAATTGGGTTGCGAAATGTTGTAAAATACAGAAAATATAGCCTTGCGAAGTTTGCATATTTTCAGTATATTTGCATTATGTGCGGAAATTGTTACCATTTTCGGCTCAAAAATAGTAATAATTTCCGCACGTAAAACAAACATACTGAAAATATGCAAACTTCGCAAGGCTATATTTTTTGTATTTTACAACTTACATTTCATAACCAAATTTTGCAATTTTACTTATTTTTAATAAGTCTTTACGGGAATTTACTTTTTTTTTACCTAAATCAAAAATTAGTCTAACATGCAAGTTGTCTATTGAGCTACAGAGGCCAGTTGTCAAGCTCAAATCGCAAGTTCATGTCTATACAGTGGGTGATGCCGTTATAAGGTATTTATCAACCCTCCTTTAATGTATCAGTATACTAGAGATTTCTATTTCTACCTGTTTGTAAATCAAGAATCACGAGATTATGTCCACGACGTTTGGATGCATAATCTCTTCCGTTTACTTTGATGTAAGCTCGTCCGCAATGAACTTGAACCAATTTCGGATCATCACAACCTTCACTTCGAAGTTCAACTTTAATGCCTGCACAAAATAAATAAAAATCTTGAGCGGTCTGTGCCAGGCCTTCGCTCGAAACGTCGAAGTTCTCCTTGTATTTTTCAGGTAGTTGCATTCCTATCAATCCAAAGCTTTCTCATGTTAAAAATATTTCTACTCGGGCTTTTAGCCAAAAGAGGGCGTCCTGGGACGCCCCTAGAACGAAAAATGGACGCCCAAATTCTGGGGGGAAAGGGAAATTATCTAAGTATATTAATATATCTGAAACGAAATAGCTTCAATTCTCATTATTATTATACATTAGACAATTTGATCAATTTGATGGTGTACCTGGCTGAATGAAAATGTCGTAGTTAAGTAAAGAAGCATAACGGCACAAACCCACAAAGCCAAATGTGTTTGAAAAATTTCGAACGAGCTTGGAACAGATACTGACATGAAGTAACGTAAACTTCAAAGCTTTTCCAGAGGAACGTTTTC